TTAAAGATATATATATATATATATATATATATATATATATATATATATATATATATATATATATTGTTTTTAAATATAATAATTATCATTAAATTAAGTATGTGGGTTATATATCTTTAAATTAGATTAATATAACTAAACTACTAAAATACATACATCTCTCACAATCGATTTTCTTATATACGATATGGTTATTCATGACATGATTCTTTGTCTTTTCTTAATTTGCATAATCGATTATCAAAACCTGATGATTTCATATTCATAATCGATTGCTAAACAATGTATTTCATCTCCTACAATCGATTTAGGATAATAATATAAATTTTGACTTATCGTTATTTAGAACTATTATTTTGATTATATATATATATATATATATATATAGAGAGAGAGAGAGAGAGAGAGAGAAAGAGAGGTAAGTTCAATTGAGAAAAAAAAAAGAATGAGGGAATCATTCTCAACCAATCGTTTATTTTTACTGCAAAACCCTTCATGGTACCGACATAAAGGCGAAATCAATACACATATGTTTTCCAACCAAACATGTTTTCTTAAATTATGTTAAGCATTAGGTCCTCTGTAATGGTCTTCACGACTACCACCGTCTTCCACCTCCACGTCACCACGACAACTCTTCCCCTTGCAATTGAGATAGTGTGCACGAGAGGAGATCGTGGTCAAAGCGAGAAAGAAGACAAGAAGGAGAAAGAATGCAGACACGAAGAGTTTGTGGTCAAATGTGGTGGTGACCACGATCCTCCACAACAAAGAGCAACCACGGAGGGTGGGGGTAGTGTGCACGGCCGTTGTTCGTGGCCACGACGAGACTCGTGCTCAGTATACCGGGAGGCATTACCTTAATATATACAAAAACATAGTTTTTTTTGTTTTTAAAGAGTTATTTTTATCGAAAACTATTTTAAATATATCAAAATTCATAATTTTTCTATTCTCTATAAATACACATCCATATTGATATATTGTTTTAAGATAAAACAATTTTTTTTATAGTTTCAGCTTTCGTTATTCATAAATAAACAAAAATATATCAAATTTTTATTATAGTACATTCGTTAATCACTTATGAATAAAAAATATGCTTAATTTTTATACAATTTAAGTATCATTCGTACATGAATATAACATGTAATAAACTTCTTACAGTTTATATCCGCTCTCGTCACAAAGTTATATTCATATATAAATAACATATTTATCAGATTTTTGTTACAGTCATTTGTTATTCGTATATGAATAAGGAGTTCGAATTTTCAAAACACTTCGTCTTTTATTAATATACTACTTATTCATATATGAATAACAAATGAACTGTGACGAAAATATAACAAATAATTTATCCATATATGAATATTACATGCGATGAAAGTTGATGTATAAAAAAAATTAGGTCAGGAACTTTTTTACGTGTTATATTCATATATGAATGATACTTAAACTGTAAAAAAAGAATAATAAAAAATAAAAAATAAACATAATTTATATTCATATATGAATAACGAATATACTGTAATAAAAAATCTGATGCATTTTTATTCATTTATAAATAACGAGAGTTGAAACTATAAAAAAATAAAATTTTATTTTATTTTAAAACTATATCAATATGGATGTCTATTTATAGAGAATGAAAATTATGAATTTTGATATATTTAAAATAATTTTTCGGTAAATATAGCTCCTTAAAAACTAAAAAAACAAAAAAAAACTGATGTTTTGTATATACTAAGGTAATGATTAGCATAGTTTAGGGAAACATGTTTGGTTTGAAAACATGCATGTATCCCCTGTCCATTTCCGTCGGTACACCCAAGTATTTTACAGAAAAATAAATGGGTGGCTGAGATTGATTCCCACATTTTCAACCTTTTTCTCAATTGAACCCTCCTCTCTCTCTCTCTCTCTCTCTCTCTCTCTCTCTCTCTCTCTCTCTCTCTCTCTGTATATATATATATATATATATATATATATATATATATATATATATATAGATATATATATATATAGGGAAATGATCAAATGAGAACACCTGAAAGGTTGAGAACGCGAGAACAAAGTATATTCATTTGTGATTCCATGTATTCATTTGTGGAGAAATGATAAATTTTTATGCCTTTAGTTTCAATTGAAGAGGAAAAGCAATACAACTTCATCCCAATTAAAAAATTATCATTTCTCCACAAATGAATACATGGAATCACAAATGAATATACTTTGTTCTCGCGTTCTCAACCTTTTTGGTGTTCTCATTTGATCCTACTCATATATATATATATATATATATATATATATATATATATATATATATATAAAGTTGTAATGTCGTTTCGCGAGTGAGGCTCTATACTTATGAAGAGGTCCACACCGGAAACATGTAGCTACAATCAAGTAACTCGTCTGTCGTACCCTAGGGTTCTTGGGAGGGCGTTCCGACGGTCTAGTTAGTTTGTGGAGAAGATAATATGAGTGTCTAGAGAGAAGGGTCTCGAAAGCATGCATGTGGTGAAGACGTCCCTTCCCTTTTATAGTTAGGGCTTCGTTTAGATAGGGGACCACTATAACGGTATCTGGAGCATCAGACTCTTATTGGTCCATCTGTCCCTGTCTTACTCTTCTCCTATTCTGGTTGGTGTAGAGGGAATAATCGTGAATGGCTCGTGCATGATTATGCTGATGTCTCGATCTGTATGGTGGCCGGAGGGTATGCGTGGGGAACAAGAAATCCCTTTCTAGTCAGCCATGACTTGCTGCCAAGAATGTGCGGTCTTGATGTCTGTCTAGCAGGGAACCCGCCCTGGTGGGTTCTTTACCTAACCCGTACAACCAGTTGGGCTGATCCGTTCAGTTGTTCTCTTTTATTGTCCCATCGGACCAGCAGCTTTCTCGTTGGAATAACTGTTGTCTTGCTAGTATCGCCATGAAGAACTGGCATGGGGTACATCATCAAGCCCCCTAGTCTAGCAATGATGGTGTAGCACAGTGAGCAAATTATATTCTGGACTCCAAGTCACACGTGTCGCTTTATTAACAGTCAAGAAGTTATAACTTCTACAGGTAAATCCGCTTTTCTAGGGCGCAAGATCATCCCTTTATCTTTCATTTGTTTCTATGTATTCACTATTCCTCTTTCTTTTTTGTTCTTCACTTCTCAGAATGGCCCTTCCTATTAACATGATTTACAGAATCTGCCGAAGTTCTTCACAAAAAGTATGGTTTTCAGCCTAAGGATGAAGTATTAATTCCTTTGGGTAGGGCATTGTTTCTGGACCCACCTTCGGGGAAGGTCGACGTTTTTGTTAAGACTTTCGACGCTGGTTACCGGCTTCCGACTACCAACTTTATGGACGAGGTGTTGTGTAAGAATGGCGTCAACATCTACGAGCTTACTCCTAACGTCGTAACGAAGATCGTAGCCTTTGAGATGCTTTTCCGGTCTCAGAGCTTTCTTCCTAGCATCTGGGTTTTCAAGAAGTTCTCCTAATTCTCCACTGCTGGTGACAAGTTCACCTTCTATGCTCGCAAGAATACCCACATCCTTGTTCCTGATGGAAAAAGTAGTCCGAAAAACTGGCAAAGTCACTTGTTTTGGGTGAATGGTTCTCGAGTCGGTAGTCCCTACTTTCGTACTAAGGCAACTTGTGACAACGCCCCCAAACTTCTTCCTCATGATCAAGAAATTGTTCGTATTTTAAATGGATTCACCGCCGTTCCTGAAGAGCTCCCTGAACATATTCTTGTTGGTGACGGGATGAGCACTGAATGGCACCCCCGTCGGGAGATGTTCGAGTTCTTCGTTGTTAATGGAGGTAAGATTTATGTTTCACTCTTTATGCCTATTGTTTAGTGCCCGTTTTGCGTTTACTAAATGATTTAAAAAGCCTATTTTTATCCCCAATTTTAAAAATTTTACATGATTTTTTAGCTTAAAAAGACAAATTGATGTTAAATTTCGTGATGGATTTCAAATCTCTTGGTTCATGTTTCTTTGTCTCATTCAGTTGGGATTGACCTGCTTTTGTTGGTCCCTCATCGTCTATTCGATAGGTTGGTGGGAGTTGGGTTTCCTTTTATGAAGTCCAAAGTTCTTAAACGAATTGACGGTTCATTAACTTGTTTTTTACAAGTTCACCTAAGTTTCTTAGGTCCCCACCACCTATTCGACGGGTATAAGTGGGAGTTTGTTTTCATCTCACGAAATTCAAATATAGCTTTTTATAAGCTTTTTGATATTAATTGACGGCTTGTATCACCACTTATCATCACAAGTGCAACATGAGTCTCTCAGGTTCCCGTCCACTTATTCAATGAGTTTGTGGGAGTTGGTCTTCGTTTTATGAAAATCAAAGTATAATGTTGTGCTTGCAAATGAATTGACAGATTTTCTCACTTGTTAACGTAAGTGCGACTTTCTTTGGTGGGTCCCTCATCTCCTATTCGATGGGATGATGAGAGTTGAATTTTTTTTATAAAGTCCAAAAATTCTTAAAGAATTGATGGTGCGTTGGTCTTCATTTTTTATGAAGTCAAAATGATTTTTTTAAGGAATTGACGATTATGGTTCGCACAAGTGCAAGTTTATCATTTATATTTTTCATGTTGGAAATGTACAAGTTTGGTTGAAGACATGATGATGAGATAAAAATATTTTGCAACCCATGTCGACAACACGTTTCAACAAGTCCATAATTTATTAAATTTCATACGGCAAAGTCAAAAGTCAATTCTACAATGAAACAGACGAAAAGAAACAAGTTTTGTTCACAAGTCAAAAGACAATAGAGAGGATAACATCAAGTTTAACTTCACTTGAAGCATCAAATTGCAAGAGTTAAAATGACCAACAAGCCCAATTTGGGCGAGCCTAGTTCAAGTCCATAAATTATGCAAAGTCAAAAGTCAATTCTACAATGAAATAGATGAAAGGAAACAAGTTTTGTTCACAAGTCAAAAGACAATAGAGATGAAATTGGAAGAATTTTCTTATGATTTTTTGTTGCTACCCAAGCATATACTTGAAAATATATTTTTTTGGAAAAGAAAACAATAGTTTGCAAATGACAATGAGGGTTGAGGAGATCTTGATTTTCTTTTGGCTGCATAAGAATCTTCATCTATCGATTTAAGAGAGAAGCCGACGCTTCTCCAACTCCAATCATGCCCACCTTATTCCACCATCCTTCACCGTTCTACCACCGTGACCCCCGCATAAACCCCACTTCACCCCATTACAGCCTCCCTTATCCGTCGAATCACCCACATAAACAGTCATCATCGATCACCCTTCACACCACAACCCATCTTTATTTTTCCTTTTTATCCTCACCATCAACCTCCCAAAATCAGCCATCGATCACCATCCATAAACTCCATTAACATCCACACACCACCACTGCTGACATCAGCAATCCTTCTTTCATTCTAGCCACAACCGTACACCACCAGTCTCCTTCCCCGGACCTCTTTGACCCATGATCTTGACTGCAAAAACAATCACCCAATTCCACCATTCTCCACCCTTATCTCCCACCTCTTTCCAGCCATATAACTCACTAAAACACTGATTCGCTACCACTACAAGCACACCTGCAAATCGAAAAAAAAAACAAAGAAAAAAAAAATGTGTCTCGATTCAGAAAAGGGCGATTTGAATCAGAAAGAGAAGAAGGAAGGGTGAGAAACGAACAAGAAAGCAGTGAATTTTACCTGTTAATCGATCCACAGTAGGGGTGGAGCGCGTTCGATCGACTATAAGAGAAGGAGGAGGTTGTCGATTTTTGTTGCTGGAAGAGGTAACACGCATGCAAACAAGTCAAAAGAGGTGTTGGGCTTATTACATCTCACTGTGGGCCTAAGAGATCTCAATTGTTGGGCTGCTTGCATTCTCATTGGGCTTCAATCTCATTTAGGCAAAACAAAGGGAAGACAGAGTTTTTATCTTGACAATAGTGTTTTGAAAAATTAATTACCAAACTCTAGCAGTTTGTAAATTATTTACCAAAACATGGCAACTCTGATCAAATATTACAATTATTTACAAATTAATAAAAGAAAAAGAAAATAACAAAACAAAGAATATAAAATAGACCCACCTTCCTTCACCATCTATTTATACAAGGCCATGGAAGTTACGTCGTCGACCAACTGCTCCACCATTGGAGTGCAAACCATCGCGTGATACTTGTATAATCAACATCCATTACTTTCTAACGATGGAATCAATTATTAATATGGATACTTTATTAGTTTGGAGTATTAATGAACTTTCAAGAGAACTTGTTAAAATCGGTGGTTACATGAGCTGCTTATGCTGATAAAGTTTGCATTATGCTAAATTGTGTGATGTAGTCTTGGCAAGATCTACAACGTCGGGTATGTCTATCTGAAAATGGTGATGGCTCAAACACAATCACCCACCGTTACAGTTTACACCAAGTTTGACGGCCTCGGTGATGACATCATCCACATTTGACCTCGTTTACACTGTTTTCTCTGCCAACGTACGATACCAAATGCAGCAACCGTGACTCTCGTGTTGTGGCGTTTCTGGTGTACTTGGCTACCATTCCGATCACTGTAATTGTAGTTAACCCAACGGAGGTGTTGTCGATAACTAGAATGGTGAACTAGCAGGTGGGTCACTTAGGGGGTTTTCGTTCTAACCCAATGAGATTTTAGAACATATAGGACTGTAGGAAAATGCGACTTACGATTGGGTTCAATTTGGGTGAGAAGTGTTTCATAATTAAGCGAGAAGAATAAGGTAGAAGATAGGGCAAGAAACGAGGGTGGCGGAAGGGGGATGACATCATTCACGGGAAGGTACGAGGGAAGTAGGCTTGAGAAACGGAGCCAAATGCATAATTAATTTCATTTTAAATAAAAAATACGACTATTCTGTAAATAAATTATAAAGTACAAGACCTTGGTAAATATTTTTCTAAACTACAATTACTTAGGCAAAAACTCCATTTTAGTCTTAAATTGTTTGAGTTATTAAATATGTTTGAGATCATGTTGAACTTATTATGCTTATTTTTGTTCAAGTAATTATTATGGAGGTTAGTTGACTTGGGAAATGATAAATCTTATGCTTTAAGTTATCTGACATAATGTGTCGTAATTGTTTTGATGTTTAAATGTATGTTTAATGTCAAGACTGCTTAATGAAATTAGCTTAATTGATAATGTTTATTATCTGGCCAGTAATAGATGTTAAAAATTAATTCGTATTTTGTTTTGTAATTATTTGCAACTAATGATTTCGAGAGAAGCTTTAGTTGGAAAATCATTTAAACATGAGTGTGTGATTTCGTAATCCCACTTAAAATCAACATAGAAGTGTGTCAGTGTACTTTTAACAAAACTATTGAACTTAATGTTTTTTAATTTCCTGAGCTGCATAAAGATATTAGTGAGTGATTTTAAATCGAATCATGATACCGAGAGGTAATTGATAACTTTAGACGGTGTTAGTAAATTTATTACCACAACATTTGTTTTAATTTCTTAACTACATTAGAAGAATCATTAAAGATAAAACTACACAAATGGTCTCTGTGGTTAGCTGAAAATTATCACTTTGGTCTAAAAAAGTTTGGACTAGCACCAGAGGTCCAAACTTTTCATTTTGTTGCGAGTTTGATCCAGTTTTCTATAAACTTTTTCATAATGACTATTTTGGCCTTATTTTTTTCTTTTTCAGTTTTTTTTATTATTTAAATACATTTTTTGATTAAAAGAAAAAATAAAAAAGAAAATTTGCATTTTCTATTTTATTTTTATAATTTATAATAATAAAATAAAAAAATAAAAGTGAAATCTCTCTCTCTCTCTCTCTCTCTCTCTCTCTAACACCACACACTACCCTTATACCTCTCTCATTGGATCGAAAACCACTCCACCAACATACCTCAAACTTTCCTCACTCCCTTCCATCCTTTTTCTCGCCACCCCACTGCTACCTTCTGCCATCGTGTACCACCACTTCACAACCCCTTATTCCTCCTTCTTCCGATGACACAACAGCCCCCAAGCAACCCTCCATCCTGTTGCCTTACCTCTTCCCTCTTCCCCTCCGATGACCACTGCCGACATAAGCAAAAAGAAGCAGCCGCTAGGCTGTCGGGCAACCTCCTACCACTGTAGAGCTGCTCTTGGTCACCACCATCGACCACCTCTGTTATGTTGCTGCTGCTACTACGTAAGTCCTCATTGCCATTTTTTTGTGTGAATCGTAAAGGTTCAAACCGAGGAATCAAATGACCCGTCATTTTTTTTCTTTCATCATCTCCATCGGAGAGGATGTTCAGTTCTCATCATTTCCGAATTTCGAGTTGCAAGTACGCTATCATTGTTGCTCTAATTGAGGGTTTTCGAGCCCTAATCACACCTAAATCAAAGTTGTCGGGGCAAGCTTCAATATCTGGTAAAATCACACCGCAAAGAGAGGGTAATTCGAACCCTAGAATGTAGAATGCTTTAATGGAGAAAGATGGAGGGCGCATTGCTTCTATCTATTCGTTGAACATAGTCCTAAACCCTGAAGATTCTCGCAGTAGGAGTGGAATTGGAGAAAATCAAAAGAACAGAAAAAAAAATTGAGGATTTGGGGCATTTTGATTTTTCATCGTATTTATCAGCCACCATGTGGGTTTGATTATGGATTTTAGGGTTTTTGGGAGGGATGGTTAGAGAAGATGAACATGTTGATTGTTTTGTACTCTTTGCGTCCAGAGAGAGAGAGAGGGAGAGAGAGAGATATTCTTTTTTATTTTTCTTTTAATAAGAAAAAACATTTAAATAAATAAAAAAAATAGAAAAAGAAAGTACCAAGGGTAAATCCGTCATTTTAAATATTTTTAAATCAAATTGGACCAAAATCGCAACAAAATGAAAACTTTGGACCTATGGTGCTAGTCAAAACTTTTTTGGACCAAAGTGGCAATTTTAAGCAAACCATAGGGACCATTTGTGCAGTTTAGTCATCATTAAACCCATAAATGTCAACTAAACCTCGTTTTTCTCTTGTCTTGAAATCCTAACTTGTGTGTTTGCTTCTTTTAGTCACTTTGGTTCTTAGTCTTGTGTTACTAAATGTCCTTGAGTTAGTTTTAGAGATATTAGTTGCTTATTAGTTTTATTTTATTTTAGTTTTTAAAATTAGTTTCATTAGTTAAATCAAACCATATCATTTTACCAACATCTACCTGATCATTCTTCTTTTAAGATAGATAGTCCTTGTGAGTACGATATCTGGTCTTACGACTATATTACTTGCACGACCTCGTATACTTGCGACTTGTGAGTACGTATTTTTGTCAACATTTTTTTGGCGTTGTTGCCGATGATTATTCTTATTTTTAAGTTACAAAATTAGGTAGTTTTTTTAGGACTCTTGAACATGTCAAAGATATTTTACTCTGGCCGATCGAAGATTCAAACAACCTGAATTTGCACTTGATTTGGAAATTGAAAGAACTTTGAGAAGGCTAAGGAAATTACAAATTTAAGAAGAAATGGGAGATAACGGAAACAACAATGGAAATGGAGGTTTCGGCGGGATCAATCTACCGATTGTCAATCCTGCGATTACTTCAGACAATTTCGAATTCAAACCCATGATGTTTCAAATGATCAATAACAATGGTATTTTTAGAGGTATGCATAGCGATGAACCGTTATCCCATCTGCGTTCCTTTAACCAGACGTGTGATAATTTTAAACAAAAAGGTATGGCGGCTGATGCGTTTAGAAAGAGATTATTTCCCTACACACTTCAAGGGAAAGCTCGAGACTTGTTTGAGTCTCTACTGTCAGATTCCATCACCACTTGGGAAGAGTGAAGAGAAAAATTGTAACATACCCAAAAATATAGATAAAATTATGTTTTTAAATTCATTCAATTCATAAGAAACTGATACCAAAATATTAAAAAGAGTCACATTGTAACATATTATCAAAGTATAAATCCCAAAATCACTAAGTGTGGAAAAACATGGAGTTATGCGGTGCGATCAGGCCGGCCCTTCCCCTTCGAACAGGAAGTACCTGAAACAGAAACAGAAAACTGTAAGCACAAAGCTTAGTGAGTTCCCCAAACATACCACATACTAAACAAGCATACTATCGAGCATATTCGGGTGCTGGCCTACCCCTCCGGTCTATCTCAACCGGATACTGCCAAGCATATGTGGGTGTTAGCCTACCCTTCGATCTATCTCAACCGGATACTGCCAAGCATATCTGGGTCTGGCCTACCCCTTCGGTCTATGTAACATCCCAAGACCAGGTATAACTTTTAAGCCCTTGTTCTTTGGTAAATTGTAAAGTTTAGCCCTTATTGAGAAAAGGTGGTAAATGAGTACGCGGGGCGTACGTGAGTGTACGCTCAGCGTACTCATATGCGTGTTTTTGACGCGGGAGCCACCTAGTACGCTGGGCGTACTAGGCCCAGAGTGAAAACCCTAATTTGGGTTGTGTCCCTATATAAAGGATATGATGGCCTCATTCTTGGCCACCATTCTCAGACAACCAACCCTCCCAAACCCTAATCCTCGTTCTTGAGCTTGTGTGTGTCCATTTGAGAGCATTTAAGTGATTTTGTGTGTTCTTGGAGTCAATAAGGAGCTTTGAAGAAGAAGGAGTGGGAGTCCAGGCTATAGATCTGAGCATATCTGTGTTGGGAGCTTCATTTGGAGGTATAAAGCTCAAAGCTTTCTCACTTTTTTATTTTATGCATCATGTTAGACCATATTAGGCTTATGGTCCCAAAGTTGCATGCTTTATGAGAAAATGAGCTCC